AGTAAAGCACGAGGGAGGGGCTAATAATCGGCTCAGTCATTTTTAATGATCGTTGAAAGCCCAGATCGTAATCGTGATTAAAATTCGATTAATTGAGCAGCCCTACTGCCAGTTAAAGAAATCCTATTCTGATCACTTTACAAAATCCATATAGGTTTTACCAAAATGCAACTCAATAAAGTCAGAACACAATGATGTCTTTGAAACACCACTGCTTAAGAGTAGTGTTTTATAATAGATAGTAAATAATTGATAGTAAACTGCTTCCTCTTCTTGCTATATATACCATAATAAACCGCTATTGTTTAGAAGTCAAATGACACTGTAGGAATAAAGCATACTACCTTATTAACTCTTTATTTACCAAGTATCATACAGGCAGCCTGGACTTATTTGGTTATTTTTTTCTGTAAAAGGGTCAGAAATCATACTATAAGCGAATGCTTTTGCACTTTTCAGAATAACCTCCGCTTTCAATATCTGACAGTCATTTCACATCATTGTATTGTTATGACAATGGAACAGTTTAAAGTGGGAAAAAACACAAAATATGGATTAAGCTTTTTCAGATTTATAGTTAAGTGGAAACTGATATTCAACATGAACAAATGTAACACAACATCAACTTTAAATATGAACTATACTAAATATGTACAAAAACATTTTTTGAGCCTAAGACCACTCTGTTTTTTATATATTGTCCCGTTTATATCAGAAAGTTCCAGGTGTTTTTAGGCATTGCCACTTCTCCACACCCGCATCTCTGCTTCATGGCACGACCTGATATCGTCGTGTTGGTGTTGTTCCAGGATCAACATAGTAAATGTTGATCCTGGAACAACATTTACTATGAACAACACCAACACGACGATATCAGTTCATCTCTGCTTCATGCATCATCAATTCTTACCTGTGATTGAACCGTCATGGCTCATGCATTCTAATGATGCACATGTAATGTTTCGTAAACCTCGTCTTCTCTTTCACTAACCATTTGAAATGTCTCTTAAGTCCCAACTGGTCGAAGAGTTACGGTAGTACAAATCACCCATTGTAAAACCTCGCAGAGTTGACTTTTCAGTGTTCAGAGCAACGACTGTAGATTCTCCATTCACTTACTTCCTGTATTATTTTTTTAGTCCTCTGTATCTGGTGCCTTGTCCTTTGCTTTGCTTCTTTTGTTATCATCACACATAGTTTAAGGTGTGCTCTTTAATCCCAGCCTTTCTACTCTTCATAAATACCTCCTGTATCTATTTAAAGCTTCAGTTTGCATCTTCTCCTGTTGCCCTCCCCTGCAGAGATTAATGATCCCTCTCTTGGATGCATTGCCTCAATAAAGATTACAGTCTCTTTGGTTCTGCAACTTGCATTTTATGACACACAAGAATGCACAGAGATGCACAGGAAAGACGATCTGGAAAACACATGTTGTTTAAAGGCTTAGCATGTATTTGAAAAACCAGACTAGAACACTTAAGCAGAAAAAAAGATCATCTGGAAAAGAACAGAGTTTGTTGAACAGTCATATAAACAATAAAACAAAACTTTACAACAACAGAGAAGGAAAAGAACACAAAGCAAATGACAACCAATAACTTTAACATAACTTTCTGGGCATTATTCCCAGACCTTATAGGCCGTCTTCATTACTTTGACAGATTTATAGTCAGGGTCAGCTCGTAGGATCAGAAACAATGGCTGTTGTGCCAGTCTTACAGTTAAAAGTAATAAATCCTACTTGCCATTTTTTATGCCTTTTATAAAAATAAGTTACAGTACAAAAAATAAACCACAAATCTTACTAATTAGGGATTTCTAAAACTTTGGACAATTTGTGTTGTCAAAGTAATCTATAATTAATAATAATCTCCAGCTGGACCCCCTTTCTTTTGTTTAAGAACTTTAAGTCATAAA